CTGGTGAGTCTCATTACCACGGGGCTTATACGGAAAACCATTTGAGGATTTATTGGATATCCTTGACCTCTATCTAAATGTCCAATGTACTTTCTCTGTCTTCAATTGTAGGATAACTAAATTGGCACTGCTACATCACACTAGATGATGATATATGTGTGCTACTACCGTAATACGCAGGCCTACTAAATATACTTGTGAAGCATGATAAAATTCTAATAGTTAACATCGAGCATCCACCAGTAGTACTTGTAGTAGGGCGATCGGTGAAAGAGTGCAGTTTTGCTTCATTAGTAATGTCCGACTAGTTCAAAGAGCGGTTCTAGTACGTGGGCCATGAATAGGCAACTTAAATGCTGGAGGGGGGCCATAAGGGCCATCATTTATCATCAGTGCTACTAGGAGGCCACATAAGACCACACCCTTCCTAACCAGATGTGTGAAGAAAATTCCACTTTAAACCTGGACGAAATATATTTTAGTATCCATAATAAGGTGTGAAGCAAACCATAAATTAACCACATCCTGTCATATCCCCCCCCCCCCATTTTCTTTTTTTTTTCCTGGGATTTCTTACCCCCCCTCTCAAATACTGAAGGGGCCACATGCCATGTACCTTAAGATGGCAATCGAAAACATGCTCAAATAACTTTCATGTGCCTATTCTGCCATGCTTACAGTGAGAAGGCTTTAACATTGTGATGCGGTGTGTGTGAAGGCATGACTGCCATCCACGAAGCTGTGCTGTCTGGGAACCTGGAGTGCGTGAAGTTGTTGGTCCACTTTGGGGCAAGCATCCACCAGAGGGACGAAGAAGGGTGGACCCCGCTGCACATGGCCTGCAGCGACGGCTTCCCTCACATTGCACGGTGAGCATCTTCGCAACCAAGTTGGTCACCATAACAGTCCAAATACTATGACGCATAACCAATGGGGGGCGAGGACATTACATGTCGACAAGCACGTCCTAGACATTGCGGTGTAAGAGAAGCCGGGCTATCCGCTGCATTCTTGCCTCTCATTGACCTCCCTGAACCTGACACTAAGGCATGACTGTGACGTGTGTGTGTTACATTCAGCTATCTTCTCTCACTGGGCGCCGATTCAAATCTGGAAAACGACTGTGGCGAGAAGCCGTGTGATCTCATCGACCCGGAGAACAAGGAACTGCTGGACCTGTTTGGTCTCGTCGACAATGACTGAGAGCCTGCGAGTGTTACATGGGACAGAAGGCCGGTGCAGTTACTCTAATTGTTCTGACGGGGCGGAGAGAAGAGGCCTCTTGGGTTCAGCATCCTGAATCAGACAGCTGCCTGAACTGTGGAGGTGACCATGGACGTCTGGTGGAAGGAAGCCTGACACAGCAGGCTTTTTCCTACATGGATTTGCAGCAGTCAGCTACATGTGCATCTTTCTATCCTGCAGTGAGTTTGAATGAAAAGATTACGCTTAAGAAAACAATGAAATAATTGAAATTATTTTTATCCTGGAAGGTAGATGAATTGATTTCAACGTGAAAGTTTGCTGTTCATTTGCAGGCTTGTATTGCAAAGAGTTAGCGTCTGCCCCACCACCCCAAATAAAGTCCATATTTTTCTATGCATTCTAGCATCTACTACCATGCTGAGAGAGAAAATAGAAGTAACATAGTTCATTTTTTTTATGTCTAAGAATGGATTCTGACCAATAGAAGCAGACTTAGCAATGTCTTTTTTGTATACCTATAAAACCTGGCATTCTAGTCACATGTTGATCACTGTATAGTTTTATTTTTATACTTATAAAATAAAGTGTTCCATCAGATTAGTCGACTGATTCATTTCATAAAACTTTTCAGTTTCAGGCCAGCACACCAGTCAAGTCACAAGGTGAGGAAATAAAAATGCAGAATGCATGACAATTTGGTTTTGCTCTGTCGCCCTCAAATGGCTAATATGTCTTTCGTATCGGCACCATAAAAAACGGGAGAAGAGGCAAATGATCAATTAGTCTTTTTATTATTAACAACTGTGACCAGGCATTTTTAGTTTTGATGCACAATACAAGTTTAAAAAATGATACATATTTACAGACATGACCAAAACATCCTGGGATACTTTCCACATTGAGCTCATTCTTTAAACTTCCACTCCTGTCGACACATGGGGCACTGCTGCTGGACCTGCTGGGAGTTGAGCCACTTCAAGATGCAGTGCATGTGGAAACAGTGGGAGCACTGGCCCCAGACCAGTGGGCAGTCATCTCCAGGCACCTTACCTGTAAAACAGGTTCGAACGTTCGCTCGCTTGTAAATAGTGGCCTGATGGCTGAAAGTTGGGCACTCCGAATCGTTCAAATTTGAAATTTCAACAATCCGAAATTGATGCACGAGGGCCGGCCGGCCCTTCAGACTTTCACCTGTTTGGTCCCTTAAAAGCGTTTACGAGAGGCGCGAAGTTTGAAAGTGAGGCTGAAGTCAAAAGTATTGTGAGCGACTGGCTGAGACGTCAGTCCAAAGATTTTTACTCTGAGGGAATATGGAAGCTTGTGCACAGATGGGAAACGTGTGTGACAGTGCTGGGAAACTACGTTGGAAAAACAAAAAAAAGTAAGTTTCTATCTGTATTAGAAGTCCCTATACAGGAAAATTCACCTTATTTATTGAATGACCCTCGTATATTTTCACAGGTTGAAATGGACAAGGAGCGGCACGTCGGCCTCACAGTGCAGAGGTGCAGGGTTCCATTCCGGCGCCGGCCTTCCTATGTGGAGTTTGCATGTTCTCCCTGTGACAGTGTGGTTATTCTCCGGGTACTCCCACATTCCAAAAACATACACAATGACGGCTGGGATAGGCTCCAGCACGGACGTGACCCTTGTGAGGATAAGCGGACTGGGAAATGGATGGATGGGCGAAATGAACAAGAGTAAGTATGTGTATATGAATTTTGGTGGCATTTAATCACCATTTCAATTACTAGGTGACAACAGTGTGTGACAAACCAAGCCAGGTAAAAAAATACGCATTACAACGCTAGCCTCCCCACTATGACGTGGACAGGCTGAGATGGGAGAGGAAAAAAAAAAAACAAGCCAAGCTCCAATAGGAGGCAGGGCAATTTCTGATAAATGTCATCCCAACAAAGCCCTTAAACCACTCGGATTCTTTTAGGAATATGAATTTTAGTGCTGACATCATTTATACACAGAAACCTATTTATTAAGTGCCAATGTTGGGCCCCCCGCAAAAGTCACCTTAACATGTAAAGCAATGCCCTTTTTAACAGCAAACATTCCCTCCTCTGGCTTAATGGTATACAGGTACTGCTGGCTTTGTATGGAGGGAGGCGCACTTTTATTGACATGACCCCAGAGAACTTGTAAATGTGTTAAAATGACCAAAATTGTTCAGTGTATTGAGACGATCAAATTTCGACTTCTTTTGGAAACATATGTAAATCATCGATGGAGGAGGGCACCATAAAAATCTCTCCTAGGGTGCCACATTGGTTCGGGCCGGCCCTGACCATACCCTTCAAAGTTACGAATGACTCCTTTATGTTGTAGAGTTTGCAATTGTTCAGTCTCGCCCACCGTAAGACCATTGGACGGTGCTACCAATATTTTACTCGACTCAGCCCACAACGACATATCCAAAGTTTTACTTACAGTCCGGGCAGCAACCATTGAAAGCAAGCCTGCATATCCCACAGTTCTCATCATTGGCTACCCACAACCACGACGCCACTCCGTTCCACTTCTTGATCTTGACCTTCATCCTGCTCGTGTACGATGACAGCAGAGAAACACAATTAATATCAGATGCAGTGGCATTGCGACCTCACATTTGGCAAGACAGCTACGTCTGGAGCTAAACTTGCACAGATACTGCATTGACATACTTTACTCACCTTTCAGCGGCTCACCTCGCCTTTAAAATACCTAACGCCAGTTTAACTACGATGCTTCGATCATTGCAGAAGGAGTTTAAATTCAATGCGTCGATTTTCCACTAGTTTTTCCCCAATCCCTCCAGTAACAATGTGTTCTACCTCTCGCGCTTTCAAAGGAAGCTGCTTAGTAAACGTACTGATTCATTACCACCATCTAGTGGACCAGCGGGATAAATGTTATACATGGATTTTATTCCACTCGTCACAAACAGACACCTTTTAATCAGAGATGGCTTTATGTGTATGAAAACGTATTTTTGACGCTCGTTCAAAAAAATCTTTACTTATTTCATTAGCATATCAGTTTTTTTTTATATTTTCTCTTTTTTTAAATTTGACCCATAAAATCTTGCGCAGTACGAATTTTACCATTCGTGATTTATAGCTATGACGTGTTTATAGTTATGACGTTTCAGAAAAACATCCACCTATTGCTGAACCTAACCCATGATTCAAAAATATTACCGGTACTTGTATTATTATTATTATTATTATTATTAATAATTTATTTGTTCATTTATTTATTTATTTTTAATTAAAACCTGATGTGCTAGAGGAAAAAAGAAGGCAGATCCGGATTCGGCTAAAAAAAAACGTATCTGGAAGTTTACTTGCATCTCTGATCAAAACGTTTGTGTTTTTCTAATTTTGTGTCTAGTATATAAATTATATGCTATACAATAGTACGGGGATCGACTGGTTAGCAGGATAAGTGGTGTTGAAAATGGATGGATGGCGTGGATACATTAGAGATAATTCCATATGTTAGTGTGAGTATATTAATTATATATGCCGTTATGAACAAAAAATTAATGTCCGGATTTATTTTATATGATATACTGTATAGTAATGTTGTGATTGTGACTCGTATTGTTCTTTCTATCTATCTATCTATCTATCTATCTATCTATCTATCTATCTATCTATCTATCTATCTATCTATCTATCTATCTATCTATCGAGTTAGTTAGTTAGTTAGTTACTAAAGTCACCTAAAAGTACAAAAAATACGATTTGATCCATTTCAAAAGCAAAAATCCTTTCTGTTTCGTCGACTGGCCGCTAGGGCGCATTCAAGTGAGACGTTTTTTTTCCACACCATGTTGTGACGTCCTCGCCATCAACACTGAAGAGCAGTCACGGCGTGAGAGAGGTAGGCTCAAAAGAAGTTTTGAAAAGCGTTCGGCTTCAGACTCAGACGTTTAGCTGTCGGTGGCTGCTTATCGAGCAAAATGTTCTGTAGACGGGTTTGCCAGAGACTCGGCCCGGTGGCTCAGAGGGTCTTCACACCGACATTTAGAAAAGGTAAGTCAGGTTCATGTCTGTTTTTATGTCATCCAAATGCTGAAGTCATACTTTTTGCATTCTCACTTGTTTAACGTGAGGGGGAATTGTTTGACCGACATTCATGTTTTCTTTGTCAGGTAATGGAACTTTTACATGGGATTCTGGTTGAGCAATGAGCAAATGTATGGTAACCCTCTACTTAATTATCGACTTAATGATCATATAGACGGTATATGCATAGTAGACATACAGTATACTGTACAGTTTTGAAAGTGTCCTGTAGAAAGGAACATTCTGTCCCGTGCGTTGGATTTGAAATCTCACTGCAAATAGAGTACAAATCTTGATGCAGAGTTTTTCAAGATTAAAAATTGCATTTGTGTTTGGTTTGTCATTTGAGGCGCAAGAATTCAACATTTGAAGATTAATTCGAACTTTTATCAAGCCATTACAAGACATTGTTGCAAGACACACACATTCACCAGCTCCAAATGAGCTACTTGCATATGGAATGAGTCCCAACACAATAGCTCCATCAAAAGTTTATTTTTTCTTGATTGTATTTTTATTTACACTCTTTATTATTGTAGTTTTTCAGTGGTCAACCACTGTGAATGTTGTCTTTTACTGACTCTTGCTAGGATTATGCAGGTTAACCAAAGGAGAATGAATCTGACCGTAAAATCCATATATTTGCTTGTAATGTATTTAAGTTGGAATGATTGCACGTGAACGCCTCTTTGCATGCGAAGTGACGAGGATTCCGGGCTTTTATTTTCACAGTGCTTTGTCTTTTCACGCGTCCTTGCCCGAATCATCATTTCCTCTGGGGTTTGAGCATGTGGAATTCAGCCGCAGGGATAACTGCTCTGACTGCTTTGTTTTTGCAATTTCCTGAATAAAAAAAAAAATTCTGTGACTGCCTGGCGACCAGTCCAGGGTCCACCCCACCTTTTGCCCAAACTCAGCTGTAATAGGCCCAGGCTATCCATGATCTCGAAAGGATAAGCGCTAGAAAATGGACGGATGAAGTAAGTTCTGACTTTGGCTCCAGTAAATCTTCCAGAATTGACTGGTGAATGCTTATTATTGAGAACAAAAGTTCTATGGGGGTGGGGGTATTGTATCATATGCAGCTGTGTACCTTCACCATCTCGACATCTGGCACACGTGTCAAGAGAGCACATGGTGCTTCACACGTGTCCCTTCTGCCTCCGGTGCCATCTTGTCTGCTTTCATCTGGCGTGCATGTTCATTTTAACAGGCTTGGACCTTGCCAGTGAGCTTAACTGATTACCTTTATAAATAACTTGTACTTGGCCTTTCAAGGTGTTGCAGCGTCATGGTGTTAGAGGGTGGAGGACTATCCTGCATCAGCAGCTCAGCATTCAAAACACAACAGTTTGTTTTGGTTTTCTACACCACACTTTGGGGACTTTTAGTCATGTCCACAGTGACATTTTGTCAGAGATGAACAGAGAAAATGACACATTATGACATTTTATAAATTAATAGGGAGTAGTATAATTTAGGCGGTCCAGTGGTTAGCGCGTCGAGCTGAGAGTGCAGTGGTACCGGGTTCAATTCCAGCTCCGGCCTCCCTGTGTGGAGTTTGCATGTTCACCCCGGGCCTGCGTGGGTTTTGTCCGGGTCCTCCGGTTTCCTTCCACATTCCAAAAACATGCATGGCAGGCTGATTGAACACTCGAAATTGTCCCGAGGTGTGAGTGTGAGTGCGGATGGTTGTTTGTCTCTGTGTGCCCTGCGATTGGCTGGCAACCGGTTCAGGGTGTCCCCCGCCTACTGCCAGAAGACAGCTGGGATAGGCTCCAGCACCCCCCGCGACCCCTGAGCTTTTTGCCAAAATACAATGTAATACATATATATCCCTGTCGTCAGTGGTGTAGTGGGGATTTTTTAAGTGGGTGTACGCGATTCTGGGATGTTCTATATATACATACAGAACATCAATCATAGGCTACAACACCAGTTGAACTAACATTAAATTTAATGTTTTACTACTCCAAAATAATCACAGGCCAACGTTATTAAGCATAACTCGCATTAGAACAATGATCAACAAACATTTCAATAAAAATTGAATGTGGCGTCGGGAGAAGTGTGGACGGCGTACCCCCACGTACCACGCCCACTACACCCCTGCCTGTCGTAAATTATTTTACAAATTAAAGTAAATAACCAGAATCTATTATTTAAGAGCCGTAAAGGTTCTACCGTACTTGACAAATTTTGTTTGGTTAGGCCATCCATTTCCACTTATACTCATTAGAGTTGTGGGTGTGCTGCAACATCCCCCAAGTCACTTTAGGGAAGGACCGAAACTCTCGGGGAGATGTGCTAACCACCCACTGCACTTTTATTTGGATTTCAGGATATACTCTATTTGTTTTTATAGCTATTTGAACTAGCCAGTCAGTATGCTGTACTCTATATTCTTGATAGTAAGGAACTACAAGTCCAAAAATGCAGTAGCCAAGGCAAAGATGTTTACTCTTTCATTCCACAAGACGTACTTTTACATCTTTTTAAAACCAGGCCCCGCCTACCAAGGACGTACTTGTACGTCTAAGTCTTTTTTTTTTTTTTTTTGCATCATAGAGAGGGGGGGGGTCTGATGCAATCTGTGAATGAGAATAAGCAGTTTGCATTGTAAATCACATAAAAAAGCGACCAGTCGGTGGCAGTGGTGCCTCAGGTGCTTGAAATGCATGCTTTTACAAAAAGCTCTTTTTCTCCGTATTTTGCCCAGGAATCGCCATTTTCATGAAACTTGGCCATTTTGTAATGCCGATTGCTGAAGAATGGAAAAAGATAGAAACAATTTTTTTTTTCTGCTGAAAGAAGAGAGTCCAAACTCTATTTTGGTAGGCTCCATGTTTATATAGCATTAGAACCAAATATTCTGTGGGCCTTGCGAGATCAGTCAAAATCCAGTAAAACGCTGGGATTGAGGGGGTTGCTCCAGTGAAAATGGCTGGGATTGAATGAGTTAATTTTGTCCCTAAACAGACATGTCGTCTTCCCTGGAATCAAACAATTAGTCCTTCTGGGCTATGATAGGTTACGTTATTCAGATACTGACTCTTAACTTCTTCCTAAAAAGCTACAAGTTTTTTCTCGTTACCGTTCTTGCTGCACTGCACTTTGAGCACCTTTTTTAGAATCGACATTGTATGTGTTCAAGTGGAGAGGTGGAACCCATGGCATGCAAGACTTGAACAGATAAAGAAAGATTCTGAATGTAAGGCCTGGTGGCGCTGCTAAATTGACTGACGCAATAATAATATCATCATATCACAAAAGCTGTTTCCCAACCTCCGATACAGTCGCCAATTGTTTAGGTTGCCAAGCAAGCAAGTTTCTTTTGCAAGAATGAGGTCAAAAACCAAAAAGTCAATTTTCTGCTTTCTGCTTTCTTTTCCGAAAGAGTTCTCAAAATGATCGAATCTCAGTTCAAATTTGTACCATCCATACATCCCGTACATAATTCAGTTCCTCATTTAACTCTTACCCGCAGACAATACGTATCCGCCCAATGCCTGTGTTGTCAATATCCACCCACTGTTGCTATCATACGATGAGCCCCTTTAACCATACTATTACTCTTATTTTCTAACCAGTAACTGGTCACACAGTTGCACATAATGTTGAGCCCTTCAACCCTTTCATTCAAGGGTTGAACTGTTTGCTTCTTTCCTGTCCGATGCAGTTGACTTGAGAATTCACTGGAACTGACATTCTTGTTATGATACACCGTTTGTACAGTGTGTGTTTGAAGGCACGTATCAAGACTGTTTGTGTGTGAGCTGGAGATGAGATTAAAGTGCTTTGGGTGCAGGGTGGTTTTATTTATGGCCTCCTCTGCATGCACCCCCTGACAATCCTCTAAACACTGGTAGATCTTCACAAGCGACAGAACAACACTCTCACCTGTCCTCCACCGTGACAATAGTCCATTAAGAAGCTTTTCGCAGCTCCTCCTTGGGGGACAAATTGACTGCATGAAATCAAATCGCTTGTCTGTGTTGTTGTTGATACCAATCTAAAATGAGCTCGAATTGCTTGTGTGGTCCGCCGGATGTTTCGTTTAGGGGATTGTTTGGTGTTTAACTTGGCTGTTGCGAAATCTTTCCGTCTCCTCGGCTCTAAATGAGCAGGGCCACAATTGTGTAACAGGATTAAAGAATGGGGACACCTTGATGCTATCGTCGTGTACTTGACCTTTGCACAAAGTCGCTCTTCACTTGGGATTTTTTTTTCCCCCCCAAATATTTCATCACCGCTTCTCTTTGCATGACACCCACACTTGTAATAAAGCAGAATTGTGCGTATAATCAACGTGTGTGCTTGGCTCCTTTTTTGTCAATCCGCAGCGCCGGTGCGGCACATGGCTTTCGGGGTTCCTGGTGGTTCCACAAACATGACATACTTTGTTGTGTGCGGAGGAGGCCTCACTGCTGCAGTTGTCTATGTAAGTATTGGTGGCTTTTAGTGGGTGCAGCAATTTCCAACATGTCCTTTCATGGGCAAGGGTAAGAAACCGTATGAAGAGTTTAGGTATCATATTGCATTTGAATTGGACTCATTTTTTAGACATACCAACCTGAATCTGAGTGAACTCTGTGCGTATACTGTACATGAAAAAAAATGCTGAAACAGGTGCGATGGCCACATGGTGCTATAATAAACACTGTATTTAGCTACAAAAGCGATCAATTCCCACACAGTATACATAACCTAATTTCTTAAAATGTGTTCCTCAAATTTATTTCTGTTTCTACTTATGATAGCACATTTCCTGAAATGTCATACAAAGTATTGTCAGGATGTCCCCCCCCCCCCCTTTAAACGGGACGGAAGGATGGATTGCCAACATTTTTTATACCATATTTGCTTATGGTTCGTCACGACAGTTGGTCAAAAGAGGATGATGGAACTCTCTGCATGCTCACTTTTGGACTACAAACAAGTCTGCAACTCTTTTCTTGATAGCCCATTTTGCTTTGTGGCAACAAGTTCCATCCATTCATTGCCTTTTTGTTTATCCTGTTGGGATTGGGCTGAGAGGTGAGATACACTCTGAACTGATGGCCTGTCAATCACATCACACCTAAAGGCACACAACCATTCGTACTCATGCCTATGGCCAATGTAGCGATTTCTATGAACCAAACACATGTTTCTGATTATTTGTTGTCTGCTATAATGCAACAAGTGTACCATATTTACCCTGTCTCTCAGGCCTACAAGACGGTCCTTGGTGATAGTGAGCGCTATGAGGACAGACTGGCCAACATGGGCTCCACAGCAAAGGGTCAGCTCCCATTCCCATTTCCACACAGAAAGAACAGAGAGTACTCGATCTGTTGATTCTGTTTTGGCTGCACCACCGAAATAAACATGCTCGAATAACCATTCTCAATAGCATGTCTGTCCCAATTACTGTCTTCAAATTAATTATGCCTGTTTGGCCTCAAAGCAGCTGAACAATCCGCAATACGAAAGGAGCAATATGTAGTCAAGCAAAATCATATTGGATATACAAGATACGTAAACAATATATCTGTCCAGCTCTGTTAGTGTGGTAATTATTTAGTCATAAAGATGGGGTTTGATTTGAATTCCAAGCAGACCACCAGCTTCTAAAGGTGACATGATGGTCTTAAAAGTTATCTCTTTGACATGTAATACTGGACCGAATTTTGAGAGCAACAACATCTATTGTATCTCTTAAGAGCTTTAACATCCACATACCTGAATTTTCATTTCCAATCTTCTTGACAGGTGTGAAGGGTTTCGTCATTGATATTTTAATACTGTACACTCTTATGTATTCTACTCTCCAATAATTGTTGAGACTATCGGGCATCTTATTGTGGTTAATTGGTGTCAGACATGATTTTTGCACGATGTTTGTGTGAGAGGTCACACATTTTTTGGGAATGTGTTTTCAACTAACGCCCAAGCTATAGATGAGTGTCATGAACATTACTAACTGGATGCAAACATACTGAGGATTGTCAACAACGTTGTTGTTGTTGTCATTGTTGTTTCAAGTGTTAAATAATGAGGCGTGACAAATACATATGTAGTAGAGTATGTTACAGAAATACATCTAAAATAATATTAAAGATCAAATGATTTTTTGAAGTCAGTCATATTGAAAAATTAAAAATATAGTGTTTGAAATAATTTATTTGTTTTCTTTTTTTGGGGTGGGGGGGGTCCAAAATTGTCACTGTTATTTACATGCAACAGTACAGTATTTTGGGGTGGGGTAGGCAAAATGACATTGTTACAAATTATTCTGCACATCAGTTGTAAGGCAGTCTTGGGACAGAAGTCTGTTGTATTTCCAACATGATCATAACCTCTGCTGGACATAAAATAGTGATGTGCAGAATGATGTGATCACACAAAGGGAAGCGTTTGAGTGGTGCAATATTGCTCCAGACAGTTACATAACATCGCAGAATCAAATATTCCTGACCCTAGTTCACTAATGCAAAAGAGAAAGTTCTTATTCTGTTCTATTCTTCATCTTTGAAGCTGAAGCTTCATCAGCTGAGCCAGTGAACGCGGCTGCTGAACCCGCCCCAGTCGACGAGCCCGAGGCGCCTGTTGAAGTGATCACAGAATCTGTCGCTGCACCTGCAGAGCCCGTGGCGGATAGCACGGACGAGCCCGTTGTTGAGAGCGCAACACCTGAAGAAGATGTCGCTGTGGTCTCCGAGATCATTGCCACTGAGGATGAAGCTATGCCAAGTGCCGTGGAAGATGCTCCACCGGTAGTGGCTGAAGCTGCTCCTATTCTGGAAGACGCTCCACCTGTCATGGCTGAAGCTGCTCCTACTCCTGTGGAGGTCACAGAGGAGACCCCGGCAGAGGCGCCTGCGAGTGCTGGTACAAAAGTAGTCGATGAAGCCCTCCTCCCTAGTCCTCCCGCTGAGGCAGAGACTGTTCCTTGTGTGGATAATGCACCATAAAACTATGATGCCTTATGGGTTTGCTGATAGAAGATGGCGACAAATTCAGTGTGCACGCTTCCCACCACAAAAAGAACCCATGAACCCCAACATAGATTAAGGGGAAAAAAACAAAAGCATTTAGTCTGGCTTCCATTTATTACGGTAATGAAAACCAGATTTACACACTAAACTTTAGAGTGTCCGTAAATAATTGTGTGGTTTTTGGGTTGGTACAGAAATTGTACTTGGGAGATTAATGAAAGAACCAAACTGTGGAGTATTTCTGTTTTCGTCTAATGAATTTAGTGCCCTTCAAGAGATGACAGTCCTGCACCAACTTGTTACTTAAATGCGTGCTTGACTGTCAGAACCGCAGTGTGTTTTTTGGGGTCAGCAGTCTTGTTTTTATCTCCCAAACGTGATCACTTTTCTGCTCAATAAATTCTCACCTAGTCCTTTCATACACCTCCAGTCTGTGTTTGTGCCACGGTTCAACAATGTGATTCTGGTCAAAGTGGTAGTCTGTGTGATTCCTTTGCCAGCAACTTTGTCTCATTTTAAAAGTGAGACCATCGATCATCCTCTCCTTTTAGTGGCCTTCCCATTCTGTTTTGTTTCCTCAAATGCGTACGCTTGAGTATTATTATGGTCTTATCTGTGAGACAAAGTTGAAAACCTGCATTCATATTTTGCTTTTTTCCTCAAAATCTACCAATTTGTCTTACAGCTTCAGACAATTTGGAACGCCACGCTGACCACAAAAAAATATATATATTTTGCTGCATCATTCAAGCAGCAAATACGAAACCGTAATCTTACACATGTCTACTCCTCCTCTTTAAAATCAGGAGAGCTTTAAGTTCCTCTTCTGTGCATTCATCCTCAGTGTGGTGAAGCCCATGTAGAAATTCCTTTCTTTGTGTTAGTATTGTTTCAGTTGATACCTTGGCCTTTTCCGCTGACCCTTTGTCATCGACCAACACCTGATAGAACCAGCAACTTTTATCCCATGTATTGAAACAACAAATTTGCATTAGTCCCTCTATAAGGAATCCGTCCCATGTTCATGCTCCTCTGCAATGGACCTAAATAATAGTTAAATCTTTAGTATTTTTACTTCCAAAAGATACCTGCCTGAGATCTCTTTTTCAATGACTTTTAAAGTGAACCGATTTTCTGTGGCAATTTTAGGTGTAACCAAAGAAACCAAACATTAGATATATTCACATATTAGAAGAGTTAGAATGTAAGATTAAAGTACATTCACACGCGCAGACACAAATCTCGGCTTTGGTTCTTATACGACATTGCACGTTACAGGCCTCAAAAGATCTGCTGTCTAGATTAAAATCATTGTTTATAGTTTGAGGATAACAACGTTGACATTACAATTGCAATAAGGTTTGACAGTATGGGGTATCAAACAGACGAGCTCTACTAACTGTGGCATCAAACCACTTAGATGCCAAGCAGAAAAAGCATGAAGATGAGTACCACCCGATTTCTGCTTCGTGACAGAGTTCAATATGCACAAGTGAGAACAACTGTCTGAAAAGATCTAGTCGTGACTGTATGTAAAAACTCATCATCTGACCCGGTGTTTCGCTTCAAGTTTCAAGTGGTTCACTTTTTGTCCTTCAGAGCCTGTGCCAGATCTTCTTACAGCTGTCAAAATACTGACCGGGTCCACAGTTGAAATTGCAGCAGCTTCTGTTGGAGAGTCCAATTTGGTGAGAGCTGCCCGTAAAATAGAAGACGATGGAAAGCGTTTGGACTCTGTGCTGGAAGTGATAAAAACTGAAGCCCTTGAGGGAACCAAAGATCTTCTTGCTGCTAAAGAATCTTCACTTGATACGGTTGTCGTCACGAATGAAGAGGAACTGGACCCCGCAGAGGTGCTCAGTTGTGATGAAGAGGCTGTTGCAGAAGTGAAAGTGTCTGCAGAAGAGACTACAGAGGCAGCCTTGTCTCCAGCGACAGAAGAAGAGGAGGAAGTGCCTTCTGAGAAAGCTGCAACTTCGGGCCCCACCGAAGACAATGCAGGAGGGGTGGATGCTGAAGATCAGAATCCAGATCCAGTGGAGAACAACACACTTGAAGAGGCTTCACCCAAAGAAGCTGCACCATCTGTGGAGGCAAGCATCACTGCTGAAGCTCCAGTGGATGAAGAGCTGCCTACAACTGAGACATTTGGAGAGGATGCTACAGAAGCTGAAGCTCCAGAAGAGGAGACGGTCGCTGCCTCAGAAGAAGAAGGTACCACTCAGCCTCCAGAAGCTGAGAATGGGTCAGAAATGGAGGCGCTCTCAGCTACTGAACCAGAGTCCAACTGCCACGACGATTCTCTGGCACAGCTGACGATGCCCACTGCTGATCAGCCATCTGAAATCCTCGAGGATGCTGGAGATGAGACGAATGAAAGCAGCGAAGCAGCATCACCTGAAGAAACACCAAGTAAGCAAATGCTTTCGAACAGGCGGTTGTCTTGAGTGTGATGCCAAAGTAACTCAATATTCCTTCTAGGTTACTGTATGTATAAGTAGCATTGAAATATAAATTAACATTTAGGAGTCATTACAATGTTTTGCAGAGTCTAAATATGATGCACGCTTGACTGTTTGACTATATAAATTAGAACTACAGTTGCCATTTAGCTCGATTTTCAGCTGAGTTTAAATGAACAACTTACATGTAGTTATATAGCTATTTATTTTTGTGCTCTCTGAAAATAAACGACAGTACAATATGCAATAAATGTATTTATTTATTCGTTACAGGTCCAGAGGCAGTAGTGGTGATGATGAGCCAGTCATGAACTGACAGTGTGCCTTTCACATCACTCCAACTGTCAGTCAAACCTGGGTCAGCAAGAAAATTCAAACAAAAATGTTTTGATTTTTCTTATTCAAACGTGTCCTTTTGAGTTGTATGAATGTCCCATAGTCTGTCATCAATATTGTAAGTTGGTGTTTGACCTGTTGGTTTAATTTTAGTGCCGTCTTATGTCCACTAGATGTCACCATTAGGATTACCAGACAGGAGAGAAAACTTTAAATTGGCAGTGCTAGGTTGTCATTTTTTATTTCTGACACAAAATTTGTAGCAGATCTTAGATTTCCACTATACCGATAGAATGTTTTCAATTTTTAACTAAATGCATTGATGTTCTTTTTATATACAACCCCCCCCCCAGAATTACCAACAGCATGATGTATTTTGAATATCCGAACATGATGTTAATTTGAGTCTTGCGCAGAAAAAGAAAAACACTTTCATTAGAAAAAATAGCACATCCGAAATGATACTAAGAATGTTCTTATTTATTGTTGAGTATAATTACTAATAAATGTTGTGAGGACCTACAAGATCAAGTTGAATCTTTGTGATGAGCAAATAAGATGCCACGTATGCTAACATAAAAACTGGACAAATAAACAGTTGGAAATCACTCCATCCCTTTAGCCCCTTTTGACAATCAATGTAAAGATGAGTTGATAGATACAAAACCTGTTGGACGATTTGATGAAGTTGTAAAATTTGCAGTGTATTATTCTAAATAACCGAGGTGTAGGAATTCCAAGGTGGATACTTAACAAGATGCTACCGGGCCACCGGGCCGCTATCTTAAAACTTGGCTCTTGGAGCTTTGGATCTTTAAATATTTAATACAACAAATAGGCAGTTGCATGAATATCAACAAATAGGCCTTCCATTAGACTTAGTGACGGAAGGTCCGTCAGTCCATCACTTTTTCCATCAGTATTTCAGGCCGGCCCATGTGGGCTACTCCATCCATCTTTGAGAATCGTCCAGCTGCAGCTGGGGCGTTCCTGTTCCGACAAGAGCATTCCCATTAGGCCTTCCTGTCAGTGTTTCATCAACCAATCGCAAATAATTTCACCAGGCACACTTGGTAATTATATTTTTTGTTTCTCACTTGGCGATTTTGCCGGCTGTTACGCTAACCCTTGTGAGAAAGTGCAAAAGAAAAGTGGTGAGAGTGGCGGCACAATTGGTTGAGCCGGAGTGGCGAGGAGGCCTGCTGCGAGAGACCTCTCATTCAAACGAATGGAGGCCAGAGAGCAAATGGTGAGTGTGCTCAATTGTTTTTTTGTTTTTATTTTTTTTACCATTAACTATCAAATATGCACCCATGGATACATATGAAATCGTAAATATGGTTCAGCGTTGTTGTCAAACACGATTATATTTATTGTATACAATATAGGGTATTTTTATGACATTGGTGACGGTCGGCAGCGGATCTCTAATACCAGGAAATAGGTGTGTGTGGTGAAGTTACTTGCCGCATCGCTCACAGCCGATCAAATATCAGTGACGACATGGCATCACACGGCCCCAGATGTCCGTCGCTTACCACCACCTCTGAGATGGTTCTGAGAAGCGGATCCACTGCAACCTCTCGGTCCAGAAAACGTCTAATGGAAAATCAAACATCGGGGCGAGGCCTTCTCGGTGTGGTGCGGGGCTAATGGAAAAGCTCCTTTTGTCTCCGGGCTGGCCTGGTAATGCCTTGGCAATCCCCCGGAAGAGATGGATGAAGTGAGTGTGAACAGGGAAGTCTACGTTTCTCTGCTAAGGCTGCTGTCTCTGTATTCTCCACATAAGATGAAGTAAATTGATTTTTAAATTAGTGTGTAATATTAGGATGCCTCCTGGACGTCTCCCTGATGAGGTGTCCGGGCATATCCCACTGGCAAGAGGCCGCGGGGACCACCCGGCACATGGTGGAGAGACTACGTCTCCCGACTGGCCTGGGAACGCCTTGGGTTCCCCGGGAAGAGCTGGAAGAAGTGGCTGGGGAGAGGAAAGCCTGGGCTTCCCTGCTAAAGCTATTGATGGAATGTCCATCACGGGCATGTGATGCACTTTTACAGCATGTTAAGTGCATGAACATCACTACAGTATCGCGGCTCACGTATGCCGTTTGGTTCTCCTGACTCTCCAGTGTGCCGTTGGGTTCTCCTGGCTCTCCAGATTCTCATTCTTTGCCAGTGCCATCGGTGAATTGCATTTGAAAGACTGCTGACCGCTAACAACTTCTGGTGATGCAGGTTACGCACCACCTAGGTTAAAGGTGAACTGCTTTTTTATTTTATATTTTAAATACTTTTTAGTGAACGTAAACCTGATCGGAAGCATAGGGTGCAATGTACACTAACACAAAAATATATAATAATTAATAACATGCACACAGACACACAAATCTTTTTCCCCCTCATTTCCCGCTACACTCCTCGCGACTACTAGTCGACCGCGATCGACCCCCCCCCCGGCCGAGTGACCTAGGCTATATAAGGGTAATATTTTGATTTTATTGCCTCATTTGTTCACGCTCCATGTCACGCCTTATCATTAAAATATCAACCAAGGCGTAAAAGTCTTTTATTAATGTATCGTTGTCATCCGCGGAAGTTGAAAAATGTAAGGAGTAGAACGTAAAGTACAAGTACAACTACCGCGAAAAAAATATGTACAGTATAGTAACGAAATATTTGTAATTTGTGACTTCCTTCCACCACTGTCAGCAAACAGGCAAACGTCGGATGAGCTTGTGGTGTGACGTCACCCATGTATATTTGCCCGAACAAACCGAGTCGATGAACTAACAGGGAGAGGTTCTACATCAGGGGAAATAGTCACGCAGGCTGATCCATCGCTCATTTGTTTGTTACGGTTTTCCCACATTGACCGTGTGTTACATGGAGCTTGTTCCCTTCCTCTTGTTCTTGGCTAACCACTGCCAAGGCTAACCGGGACTACGACTCGTCCACAAACAAACGACCCCTCAGCTCACTACCAGAGCAAGCGCGATCCCAAACGCTGACCACTGAACGTGTTTCGCTATATGGAAATAAGTTCGTTACCCACAGAAGAGAGACGAGAAGGGAGAAATTGACAGTAAGTGAGCTGCCTTATTATTCTGCACTTTTAACCACGTCATTTATATATGTAAGTGTGCGTGTGTATGTGTGTTTTGACAGCTCAGTGTTACTCGGAGGATGCTAACATTGCTAGCTAACGTTAGAAAGCCATGTTTATATCAATGTTCAGATTTTGCTTTTCTACGACAGATTCAATACGTTGCTGTGTCTATTTATAATTGAGCGTCAATTTAATCGCCAACTGAGCATACGTACGTAAAAATGGTTCAAGAGCTGCTTACTTAGCACAGCCATTTAAGAACGCTGATGGGCAACGGTATCATCCCACCACGACCCTTTTACGTTTTGTTCCACTTTAGTTGTGACAAATGACAAGCAGTGCCCCACTAGGTCAAACGGGTAGTCGACTTTAAAGTCTTTCCTTGGTTATTCACTGAAATCAGAGAGATGATGTCACTTTCCCCAAATATCAAAAGAAATGCATTGAAGACCAAAACCAAGCAAAGCCCACGTAGCATATCTAAAAAAATCTGAAATTATTTTGTCCCAAGTGAAAAATTAAAGCAGTCTTAGATGGTAAATGCTATGATCTTTGGGTGATGCAAGACGGTGGCCTGTTATGTTCCACCTTCAGCTCTTGGTGTCATATTATTCTTGTGTAAGGCTGCTGTCCAACTTGTTGCTGGAAATAATCATTTTTTTAAAAAATGATTTGCAACATTTAATAGGTTAGTGTATGTCGGCGGTGAGCCCTCCCTTGCCCTGCCACTGTGATCCACAGCAGGCTAAGAGGGATAGAAATTGGGTATATAGAGCAAAATCGGTATCAGTAAATATGCATAATCGGAATTGGCATCTTTTTGTTGCTGGCAGGATTGTTAGGGTTTTAATGTGAGTGACAAAAAAGGGTTTTGTATGGTGTTTTTGGATGGTGCAAAAGAACTGGACGAGTGAGTGAAGGCTCTGTCTTATTTGTATTAAAATGATCGACTTATCTTTCACCCAACCAGTATGTCATGCTACACTTTTCACCTATGCCATCTAGGCCTCTGCTCAGCTGCTGTTGGTTCTTCTGAATCTTGATGTTTTGATTGATTTTATGTTTTCTGGACATAAAATTTTCAACAATAAAACACCTGAAAATACAAATTAGCACATGACTTATTTGTCCATATGGAGCACAAATGACAACAGCTCTGGCAACAGCTCTGTATTGAAAAAGTAAAGTACATGTAAACTTAATGTTTCTTTACTCAATGGAATGAGAAGTGATCGTTAGGTAGGGGTTAGTTGCTCTGGAAGTCCAACCGGCACATGTATCAACACTTTCTTTGCCGACTTCTTTGCCGACTTCAACAACTGTAAAACTGCTGTCTTCAACTCTATATCCCGCTTCGGGATGGTGACTTCCAGCATGTGTTTTTATGCTAGTATTATTGATTTTTGAGTCTGTATCATCTCGTTAAACCGCGGGTTATCCACAAAACCGTAAGATCAAAGGTACTTGCATATGACTGTGGCCATTCGATTCGCAATTCGGTATCTGTAATGAATTGTGGGGGGAAGTATTGCAATGCATTGAGAAATTGATATTTTTCCTTTGCACTACAAAGAATCTTGTGTTTGGAATGTGAGAGGAAACCAGAGTAGGAAACCTACACAAGCATGTAAACAACAAGCAAACTCCACACGGGGAGGCCAGAACCCAAATTCAAACCCCTAATTCAGAATTGTAAGATTAGCTAACCACTCACCCACCGTATCGTCTGTCATCAAAACACCCCCCTTCTTTAGTTACGAAGGAACAATTGGTAAAAAAAATATATTTTTGAAATAAATATACACTATTTAAGTCCTGTGATTGACTGGCGACCATTCCATGGTGTAGTCTCTGTCTTTTAACAAAAGTCAGCTAAAATATGCGCCTTCTCCCTCTTACACTGGATACAATAAGACCATTTACAACTCTGTATTATGTGGAAACACACAATTTAAAATTCATTGCTATGTAAAATTCAGATACGTCATTTTAGGACAACAGTTACGTATTGCTGCCGCCCGAGGGGGGGAAAAAAAAATCACGTTATAATGTGATCAGGTTCACATTGTAGCGTGAAAATTTTCATGTGTTAATGTGATGAGTTATTATATTAAAACTTGATAACTTTGTCTTCCACATTCGGCATATCAAAATGAAACAATTCCTGTTTCAGGTCACTGGTGTAGTAGCCCTCTGTAGGTATGAGTGTCTTCTTTTTAAATCTTCTTAAACACC